TACTACTACTACTACTACTACTGTCGGGGCTCTCCTTTTGAGCAGATTTGTGTTCAATCTCATATTATCTTTTCCGAGCTCACGCGCCTTAGGACACAAATGCTTCTATCGAAGTACCTCCCTAAGCTTCAAAGCCTCTCAAGAAGGTAATTTACAAGCCTCAACGATTCCGATCTTATTCTTTAAGGGCTCCTCACTCGGGTTTAGGGTTTAGGGTATATCGCAAAACCCACTTCTACCTACCAAAGCCCCTATACTTCTCGAACGCCTCTCTGCATTCAGGTACGGCTCTGGGAGTTTAAGGTTTGGGGCGCGGCTTGAGGGTGTAGGGCGACAAGCTCAGGGATTCAAAGGTTGGGGGTTTCGGGGTTCAGGGTTTAGGGGTTAGGGGTTTCGGGGTTTGGGGTTTAGGGGGGCAGTCAGGCGTGGCAGCCCCTGCAGCCCTTGATCGAAGACAGTGAGGGCCCCTTCCAGTTCATCGCACGGGGAGCATGAAGCAAGTCAACCGGCCGCCGCCGCCGGCGGGGGTTATCCCTAAACCCTAAACCCTGAGCCCTAAACCCTAAACCCTGAACCCTAAACCCTAAATCGTGAAGTTCCAAGAATACTTTGAGTGCCCGCCGGCCCCGAATCTGCAACCCCTGAGCTGCCAAGGCCCCCAAAATCTGAAGCACCCTCAAGCCTAAGCCCATGAAAAGACGAAGCGATAACATACACAAAAACTAACCTAAACCCCCTAAAGCCCTAAACCCTAACCTAAACCCTACATGACTCCGTCAGAGAAGCTTGGAAGCCCGCAGTTCCCCAAAGCCGAGCTGGGAACTGTGACTTCCCTTACCATACTGTATGCGTTGATGTATCCTGCAGGCCCTCTACCTGCATAGGCATTTTTTGACTTATATGGGTTTAGAGTTTAGGGGTTTAGGGGTTAGGGCCTACCTGCATAGGCACTTTAATTTATGTAGGTTTAGGGTTTAGGGGTTTAGGGTTTAGGGCCTACCTGTATAGGCACATTTAAGGCCTGCGTATATAATATACTAGAGAGGTACATGGAGCATTAGGGTATGCGCACAGTTTTGATACGTTGCCGCTCAACATCCGCAATCTTCAGCCACCCTAAACCCTTAAAGTCCTAAACCCTGAACCCCTAAACCCCTAAACCCTAAACCCTAAACCCTAAACCCTAAACCCTCAAAGTCCTAAACCCTAAACCCCAATCTCACCCTCCGGGTACCTACTATATATAGCCCTAGGGGCTCTAGGTCTGGTACCCTTTATTGTAGGTACTTGGAAGCCCTAAACTGAACCCTAAACCCTAAACCCTAAACCCTAAACCTTAAACCCTAAACCTTAAACCCTAAACCCTAAACCTTTAACCCTAAACCTTAAACTCTAAACCCTAAACCCTAAACCTTAAACCCTAAACCTTAAACCCTAAACCCTAAACCCTAAACCCTAGGTAAGGGCCTGTAGGGATTGAACGAAGCCCAGGATCCACCGCTTTCGTCCTGGGAGGATGCGCGGCCTCTGCCACAGTGGCCGGAAGCCTAGCGAGCCTCACTTGAGGGTTTAGGGGTTTAGGGGTTTAGGGGTTAGGGGTTTAGGGCTTATAGGGCTTAGGGCTTTTAGGGTTTAGGGTTTGGGGTTTAGGGCTTAGGGTTTAGGGCTTATAAGGTTATAGGGTTTAGGGGTTTAGGGGTTTAGGGGTTTGGGGTTTAGGGCTTATAGGGCTTAGGGCTTTTAGGGTTTGGGGTTGGGGGTTTAGGATTTTTGGTTCAGGGCTTTGGGTTCAGGGGTTAGGGGTTTAGGGCTTATAGGGCTTAGGGCATTTAGGGTTTAGGGGTTAGGGGTTTAGGGCTTATAGGGCTTAGGGCTTTTAGGGTTCAGGGGTTAGGGGTTTAGGGCTTATAGGGCCTAGGGCTTTTAGCTTTTAGGGTTTAGGGGTTTA